GGCTTTGTTCTGCTTTTTGTTAGAAAGCTGTGGAAAGAAAGAAAGAAAGAAAGAAAGAAAGAAAGAAAGAAAGAAAGAAAGAAAGAAAGAAAGAGATGTAATGGGTGAGAAAAAGAAAGAGCAAAATGATGGCATTACAAAAGGGGAAAAGCAGAATCTATCCCAAAGCCACTCTTGTGTAGCAGGTCCTTGCAGTTCTGAGCAGCCTCTAATTAGGGTAGTATTCAGGGGTGGCATTAGTTCCCAAACTTTTTAATGGGGTGGAAAGCGGAGCTCCTTTTAGAGAGAGGGGATAAGTGTAGTGACTGTTCCATACACTGAATAGCAGATGGAGAGATTCTGCACCTCCCTGGGAGGTATTCACTCTTTTTTACTCTTTTTTTTTTTTTTTTTTAATTTCATTCCTTGTACTCTCCCCCCTTTTCCAATTGCTCTCTTTTTCTTCAGTTTCTCCTCTGTTTTCCACACATTTCATCTCCATCACATGCTCTAAGGTGTAGACACTGAATATTTTTTGCTTTGAATTTAAATAAACTCATTCAACAATTCAACTTTAGTTTTTTTGGTCAACACACTTCCAGTAGTGCTGCAGATTAATGTGCATTGTCCTTGTAAATAGATAAATAAATAAATAAATAAATAAATAAGATTAATAAATAAATACATACAATTAACTTAAAACTCAATCTTATTTATTTTCAGATTTTTCTTTAGTGGGGAGTAAACATGAAAGGAGACAAAACATTTTTGGACAGTAAAACTTTTTTTTTTTAAGTAATAAATAACTCATTTTGAAATATATTTAAAATTGTATCATGCAGATTCACATAAACACCATTTCTGATTGGATTATTTCTTTTAAAATATCTTTCCTTACTTATTAGTATTTTTATTGAATGTAAAGTTTTTAAATTTAAGATAGGGTATATTATTAAGCCTACTTCTCAACTTTTATGAGGTTAAACTGTTTTACTAAATTATTTTGTATTATTATTATATTAGTAATTGTTGTTATTCTCATTATGTATTATTATATGGAGTAATAAAAAACAGGCTATAAACATTTTGGCTAATCTCACTGAGGACTTAATGCAGAGCACCTGGGCTTGTAAATAAGTTAACTTTTTAGAGACATTATTAGGCCAGAAATATAAGAGTTTTGTTATATTGTTATGTAACATGAGGTTTTTATTGAGAAAAAAGACAAATAAATCAGTTTTAATAATCTCACAACCTGTATTAGCTAATTATTTTTTAGTGAAAAGCTAAAAGTGCAACAGTGTTTGTAATTTTATTTAGTTTAAATATTTCTGATTGGAGGAAAATCAAATCTTATTAAACTACTGGTATACAGCAGGGGTCTGTGTTGATGCTACTTGTACAAAAAAAATAATACTCATCAAAATAAAAGCCTAAAAAAATAACATAACTATGTCTAGGAGGTCATAAATTAAGATTTTTTTCCACTTTTTGAACATTTTTGCAGAAGATGTCAGTTTGACATATTTTAATTATAAATCCCTTTTTCCATATGTGTGTTTTTTATTACACTTTCAATGTGTGGCCATCAAATTCATTCCAAGTTGTTAGTAGCTTTCTGTCCTTAAAACACTTCTGCTGCTGTCAAATAATGACAAAAGGTGATGAGGTCAGTCTGACACTTCTTGTTCAATAAGGATATATCAAGGATTTAAAAAAAATAACCTGTTTATTGGGCTGCAGTTAAAATCAAAGTTGGCAGTTCTTAATGATTTTCTTCGAAATATAGATTATTCTCAAAGGCTCGAAAGCCCCAACACATTTACCCAGATGCAGTGTCTTTTATGGGCTGAGTGTTGTGCTTTATCCCCTCTCCTCATGACCTGTGACCCAGCAGGATAAACTGCTAACTGAGCTTCAGTCATGCTCAAGGAGGCTGCTGCCCACATGATCCCTGACATTTCATGAATAGCCCCCTTTTTAACTGCAGGACTATACCTACATATATTCTGCTGTTGTTGCTACAACTCACGACAAAACCCTTCATGAACCTAATTCAGAGTTACTTGACCATTACACACATTCTTAAATGAGGTTTATAAATTGCACTTGTCTTTTTTTCTACCTGGTGATTTAAAAAAAAAAATCAATAGTCATAAACATTGCCTACTTTATTTTAAACACTCCTAATGACTTAGAAAAATAATTATAATTAATTTTTAATATTAGACATGTTATTTGCTTGTTTGATCAGTCTATTAAATAATTTCAATTTCAGAATGCTTTGTAAAATTAAAAAAAGGACATGGCATAGGCTAGCAATGATAATAATAATAATAATTATTATATAATAATGTCTACATGCTGATCGTGAATAAAGAGGATTTCTCTGAAGAAATATCTTTTATTGAAACGTTTTGTTGAAAGGACAGTTTCAGGATTTAGGTCAAGATTTATGATGTTTGTTAGAGTAGTTATCACACGGGTCAGAGACACCAGGGCCCTGAAATATATTGTTGACGAACAGCACTTCAATCAAACAAACGAAAGTAGTGCACGTATCATTGCACATGATAGATAGATAGATAGATAGATAGATAGATAGATAGATAGATAGATAGATAGATAGATAGATTTAATTGCCTGTTTTTATTTATTTATTTATTTTTTCTCGTGTCATTTAATCCTCAATTAAGCCACAGACTCTCTCTTTTACAGTAAAGTCCTGGTCAAAAATGGCGGCGTAGAGGAGCTAACACAGTCATATAATGGCTTAATACTAATTTACAACATTCACGTGCAGCGTTTAGCACAATATCATAGACTGGGACGTGCAAGTCACAGAGGAAAGAGTTTGACTGTTTGTTTTGAATGTGGCAGCTATATGAATAATTGGTATATGGAGGCCGTGTCTCTCCAAGGGTGTGTATTCTGGATACATACGTGTGTATTAGCATGAACGACCCTCAACCATTAGCTACTATTTATCAAATAAGCTATTAGCAGAGCAATTACGCAGAGACAATATGTAGAAAGACTAAAGGCTTAATTGACTTTAAACTGAGTGAGGAATCCAATAGAATATCACAGGACGCACTGTAGCCCAGATAATAGAAATATTTCAGATAGGCCTGCACACACGTGCGATGAAACATGTAGGCCTATGAGGGTCGTAGTAAAGCTCATTATGTCTGTTAAATAAAACAAACCTAATATGTGATAAGCTACACAGTATTAGTGTATCAAACTGCATGAAATGCCCAGATATTATTAGATACACCATAATTAACAAGTCACCATTGACCACACACACACACACACACACACACACACACACACACACACACACACACACACAATGTAAATCCCTTCAGGACTCTTATTGTGATAGATTGGACAAAACCCACGCGACTACACAAGTTATTATAATATATCTTATTGCATTAATTATTATTTCCCTTGTTAAGCTTTCTCCATTTGTAAACAAATCCATACAGTACAACTGACCTGCTTCCCTTCTGCTCTCCCTCTGCTCTCCCTCTCGCTTCAGTGTGTGTGTGTGTGTTTGTGTGTGTTTGTGTGTGTGTGTGTGTGTGTGTGTGTGTGTGTGTGTGTGTGTGTGTGTGTGTGTGTGTGTGTATGTCTGTCTCTCGTTGCGTGTTACATCATCACGCAATAGCTGTCCTCCCGTGGCCTAGTGAACTGGCTCGAAGCGCTGCACCAATTTAGCTATCTACTACACACACGTTGCTTTGAATCAGGCAGACACACGCAGTCGACGGGCGCACACATCCAGTCACGGAAGCAGCAGCAGCAGCAGCAGCGGGGCTGTACAGTAAAGGCTACATACAGAAGTCATGAAAAATTCAATATAAGAGGTCTGACACATCATGCAGCATCACGGTAGCACAGGTGCTGCTGCAGCCTTGAGCTTCAGCACCTGCTCCACATTGAAGTGTATTTCGGAGGTGAGTAATCTGTCCACTTGCAGGATTGTCTTTACTACGGTGTCTAATTGTCTGCAAATTTCTCTGTGCGACTGCGTAAACCCCGCAACTCTGTTTGGCTTCTTGTGTCAGCGGCCGCTTGCATGTTACAAATGACATGCTCTTTCCTATGTGGGGCAAATAAATGCCAAAATAAAAGTGAGTAAACACTGAAAAAGAATGAGTGGATTAAGGTGGTTTTAACCTCCAAAAACATCCCCCGCTGGCCCCGTGGCACACCAGAGCGAGACTTCAGGGGCAACATTTCATTTTCTCTGGGAAAACTGTGTCAAATAAGAGCAGATAATGAAATACTGAATGAGGAGTGTTTTCTCAAGAGCTGGCCAGCTGTCGACATCAGCACCGGTATAATCACCGGCCTGAAGCAGGCAAAATACAGCCCGTCTCACCCCGCTGACACCTTCCTGTCCGCTCACCGTAATTACGAGGATGAGTGTGAGAGAGGTCAGATGGACACGCAGGCCCAGAGTGCGCATGTTCCAAAGTGTGCAGCACTGGCACCAGAGAGTGTGCAACATCTGAACAAACTATATCTGTAAACATAATGCACAAAATTATTATTATTATTATTATTATTATTTTTGGGTGGGGTTGGGGGGTCAAAACGTGGGCACACGCACGCTTTTTGAAATGGAGGAAGCGCCTCTTTGCCCCTCTGTCACAGCCAAGCAGTTGTTATTAGCTGATTAATACACACAATCATAATGTAAAGACTCATTAAAATCATTAACACCTCCAACTTCATGTTTTTTGGCAACATTATTTCTTTCTAAGTATCAACCCTGGGTTACTTGAATGAAGTTTAAGATTATTTAATAAATGTATTTCCAAACAAATTAACTTTTTTGCAAAACGAAATTTATTCTTGTTTAAAACAAACTGTGTAAAAATATCACACTTCAATTACACAATACTTGCCAAAAATGTACAATGTTTTATTACTGAAATAAACACACACTGCATATTATTATAAATGTATGACTTTGCTCTCTGTGTCTTTTAATACAAAGTTCAAATCAAAACTTTAAAAAATGTTTTGATTTGTCAAACTAATGAAAAAAAAAACATGGATGTGTTTGACACAAATACATTATTAGCCTATTTTAAACATGTGATCATTCATAACCTGTTCATTAAGTCATTATCCTGAGACGCCCTAAACAGTGACTGAAACGAATCACTTCATGGAAAAATACAAGGACAGTTCGTGGTCAAAAGTCTGATTCACACCGAAAAAAATGAACATAAATATATCTTTTTAAACAGCATGAATATAGGCACAAATAGTGTTATTATGTCCATCATTCAGCTGCGTGCTATCAAATAAACATACAAAAATAATCCTACCTTCAAAGAGGGGGCGTTTTTTGTTTTTGTTGCTGTTTCTTTTTTTTATATAGTTTCTTGAAAAGTTTGTAGTTAAGACATTTAACAGCCGCTAGTGCCGCTGACCACTCTGCTCGGAAAGTTTTCAGCCGCGTGTAAAACAGTTCCGGGATGGACGGTCTGCGGCTGGCTGGCCGCTGGAGGCCCCAAAGAAGACGGTAAGACCGGGACAAGGACCGGAGAAGTCCTGGAGGGGCTAAGTGACCCTCCTATGATACTCTCTATGGAGAAGGGAGACCTCTGCACCGGGGAGCTGGACTTCTGCACCGGGGCTGCAGCCTGCACGCTGGCTGAGCCCAGGCTGGAGCTGAGCTGGGGATAAAACCTACTCCTGGCTAAGTCCGTGGTGGTGGGCATCAAAGACGGTGCAGGGATAATGGTTCCCGTGTGTGAGTGTGAATGCCTGGAGTGCTGCTGTTGTTGCTGTTGCTGCTGCTGCTGAAAAGCATAGAGCGCAGAGTGTGTGTGGTAGGACTGGAGCTGGATGCCGTATCCTCCGCAGCCGTACGGTCCGTACCCATAGGCAGCAGCGGCGGGGATAAAAGTGTTGTGTTCCCGCAGCAAATCCTGCGTCTGCTGCCGCTTGAATCGTTTCCTTCGCCTCAGAAAACTCCCGTTGTCAAACATATCAGCCGACTCCGGGTCCAAGGTCCAGTAGTTGCCCTTCCCAGGATTCCCGGGCTCCCTCGGTATCTTGACGAAGCAGTCATTGAGGGATAAGTTGTGTCTGATGGAGTTCTGCCAGGCCGGGAACTTCTCTCTGTAGTACGGGAAGCGGTTGCTGATGAAGTCGCAGATCTCGCTGAGAGTGAGCCTCTTCTTGGGGCTCTGCAGGATGGCCATGGTGATTAAGGCGATGTAGGAGTAAGGGGGCTTCACCAGGCTGTTCTTGCCCGCCGGCTTGTAGGTATCCCTTGTGGAGGTGGAGCTGTCCAGGCACGGAGGAGGAGAGCCGGCCAGGAGGATCCCGTCGTGCATCTGCGCCACCTCGTCTACGTAGGAGCGCGTCTGGTTGTCCCCATCCTCCCCTTCGCCGACCACGTCTATGTCGGTCTCTTCCGAAAGGATGGAGGCATCCGACATCTCTGAGCTCAGAGTCATGGCTCACACACGCCTGTGCCCTCCGACGCCAGATGAGGAAGACGATGAGATGCACAAGCTGCCCTGCCCTCCCTCTTCAAAAACTCATATGAGGAGGGGGAGAGGAGAGGAGCACGTGTCGCCGCCGGTGAGAGATGCCCCCCTGTTTTCTCGCTATTTCCATATGTTTTCAGGTTTTTTGTCGCCGACTGACGAACGATCCCCTTCGATACCAGGCAGAGAAATGTTCCGGGAAACCTGCAAAAGGGCCAAACCTGAATCACAGAGGGGGTGGATCTTCGCTCGTTATTTATACCACTGCCCTGGTCACATGGTGAGGAAACGTCACCGAGGCAAACGAAGAGAGAGAGGGAGAAAAATTAAATAACAAAAAAAGGGCTTTGAAAATTAACTGTGAGTGTTTAAAAAAAAGAGTTTGGTGTGGCCTACATCCTTTTTAGTGGTCATTCCTGGTGGCCTGCAGTCCACATATGACTAATCTGAAGCGTTTATTCCAACCCAGTGTTTTGCGCAAAAATAGATTCTGGAATAATAATTAAAAAAAAGCTCTCTAGGAAAGTGTAATTACTGGTGTGGTTATTTCTGAGATCGAAGCAGATATATTGACAGTTTTTTCTTATTTATTTAAGTTTAGTTATCAGCGTGATACATTCAGAGAGTACGTGCAGATTTCAGATTTTTTAATTCGAAGAAACAACATCTCAAAATATGAGATAAAACAAACGAGGTTATGGCCAAAATAGGCTAATATACACTGTAAAGAATACCTATGATATTTAATATGAATGCCTTCTGATGCAGTGCCGGAGAGTGGTGCACCACATCCAGGCAGCTCAGTTTGCGTGATCCGGTAGTTATCTAGATTATCCGCGAGCCATTTGTAATGGAAAAGAGTCAGCTGTTAACTCGAATCAGTCACGGGTCACGCAGAGCATGCAAGCCCCAGATATAAGGCCTGTGCCGTGCGTCTGGAGCATGGTGCTGCTGTGTGGAAATTTCTATTCATTTTCCTTTACTTTAATTTTTGAATATGTTTCTTCGTGTTTAACTAAGAAAAATTTGGTAGAAAAAAAAAAAACATGAAAGAAAAAAGTGTCTGCCCACTTGCAAGTCTCGAGTGAAAATTGCATTGCAATGTGTATAAGCCTATTATTAAACATGACAATATATAATATATATCTCCCCCAAGTGTCTGGATTGTATATTAAAATTGCTCCTAAATAAAAATGTGAAGTTCATACATTCATGTTTGTTGATTTTGATTTTTGTCTTCATGGGTCCTGTGTCATGATCAAATAGAGTAAGAGTGACTAAAGTATGAATACATATAATCTTTCACTCCGTTTTACCTCTAGATGACCATATTGCTGTCGTTCAGCTTTGCCTTTAAATGTGACTGTTTCTTAGATGATAAACTGATAATTAGTTTGTCACTCTTTTCCATTTTTTGTCAGAGGTAACACCAGAAACGATGCTATGTTTTTTTTCTTTTTTCCTTTTGCTAAATCAAACAAAAATCAAACAAAGGAAGCACATTTAACAGAATATTACACTCTGTTGAAATTAATCAAATTATTAAAGTAAAACAACTTTTCCAAATATTTTACTTCTCATCTTTTGTGTCAGAAAAAAATAATTTATCAGGCCGTTTTTAAAAAAGCAGCTGATCTAAAAGCAAATTAGACTTAAAATAAAAGTCTATAACTATACTTATCACAACTTTATTTCAAACTGTCAGATGTATTCAGGTGCTGTGTAACTTTTCAGTGGTTTCCATTTGACCAGCGCCATCTAGTGGTGGACGTCTCTCACAATTAACAAAACACTTCTGGCTCATAAAAGCAGTTGCAGCTGGAAGGTCTCACATCCAGAAATGTACAGATAACTCACCTTAGAAGTAATATTTTATAGAATTTATAAACTAGAACCTACTTTATCTGACTTATCATTCTGGCATAAAGCTTTAAACTACAGCTAATACCAGCCTATAAATAATAATTTATTTATACACAATACACGCGTCAGTGCTACTGTAAAATGAACGAGGAATTTCGTAATATGATCAAACAAATAGACTTAATGTTTTCCTTAATTTTTTCCTACACTGGTGTAATTTGTCTTGATAATAACCGATTGGATGCTATATTTTATCTGTTATTAATTAGTTCTGCCTCTTCACAGATTGAAATGGCAGACTAGTCTGAAGACCCACCATAGGTACGTATAATAAACTTAATATTGATAATTGGCTTTTAATTCAAAGACAAAAAATATATAGAAAGAGAAGAGAAAGTTAGACACACATTCGCCACCTATAGGCGTATTACTTAGTTGCTTACAGTTTTTTATTACGTATTTCAGTTATTGTTCATAAATGTAAACATGGAGGAAAGCAAGACTCGTTCATGCTGAGACTTTTTTAAACGAATAGTTTTTCCTGATTAGTTTTAGCCATTGGACATAATTAATATTAACCTTAAAATAATATAACCAGATCCTACTGATTGCCCTATTGGTTAGTTTTGTATGTCATCAGTGATGTAGATTAAAACTCACCATGTAACAAAAGAAATTCAAACCTTAACTCTTTTTAAAAAGCCTACCATGTCCTCAGTTAGAGAACTAGTGTGGGCTACATTAAATAGTTATACGCAGCCCTGCATTAGTCCTCCCTTAGTCCTCTCTACTAATTCCTCACATCTGTATTTAAAACCATGAATGGAGATTGACTAACATTTGTAAATCCAAAAATGTTTAGTCCTGAACGAGTTATTATAAATGTCTAAAATCTGCCCAAAATTAAAATCAAGTGTATTTCAGTCTCATAAAGTCAAGACTACAGAGGCAAAAAGATTATTGTAGCCGTACATGGACCTCTATTCAAATGTGTGTGATTGTTCTGACCATCAGAGAAAAAATATGCATTATAGGTTATTATGAATGAAGACTGGGCTTTTCTTACTTACGTCTTCTCACGTCTTTTTTTTCTCTTTAATTTGATCTGACACTTACAACAGCAGCACTAGCGTGTGTGGTAAACCACTTCTAAAGTGTTTCTAAATTCCCCCCTCTGCGATCCGAGGGTGTTTCCGTGCCACGGGGTACCAAGCAAGCACCTCGCTGCTTAAACGCACTCCCTGCCTGCCTGCCTCCCTCCCTGCCTCCCTCCCTGCCTGCCTGCCTCTGGCTCTGACAAAAACCCCCAGAGTGTCACAAAAACAGTCCGTCTGAGAGGAGTGTTAAGGGGGAGAGATGTGTATCACATGCTGAAAAGGAGAGACAAGGTAGCAACAAAGAGACTGTACCCGCAGTATACAAGAGAGAGGAAAACTAAAGCCAAGTCTCAACACTCAAACGGATATAGGCTAAATAAATACACACGCTTAAAAACATTTTTTTCTGTTGCACTGGTCTTAAATCTCCACTCTCATACACAGAAACATACCCGAAGGTCAACACGTGTTGTAGTTCGGATTCTTGCACTTAAACGTCACAAACGCTATTTATAAAATATGGGAAAGCCATGTTTGAAAGACGCTTTATATCTGTTAACGTGTCTCAAGAGTCAAATTGTAAGTTCAATTCTATATATGTCTCACTATGTCACGATCCTATCTCTTCACCTACTTCCAGATCTTAACTGAAATCAGTTGATTATAGGAAATTGGTTAGGCTATAACAACAGGTAGCCTATAACGCTATGAAAGGCAGTGATACATCAATATATGCAGTTCATTTGCAAGTGTTTATTAAAGTGTTCACTCCTCAGAGCAACTGTTGGGTGTAACTGTTTCAGCGCGCGTTTTCTTTTTGGTGCAATCTGTAACTTAGCCACGAATTAGCGCACTTTCATACTAAAGGAAGTAGTTAACAAATATTACGTCTAACGCATTTCCTCAGTATCTAAACGATCGTTGAATGCAACATCAGCTTAATGGGGGAGAAGGCGTGTGATTATCATGCAAAACAGTGTACCTGAGGTGATATGTTATATAAATTATGATACAGGTCTATTCATTAATACATATTTGTACTATTGTATGTTATCTGTATTGCTATTAGCTTACATTTATTGTAGATGAAAGCCTGTTGTTTATTCATTAATTTATTGTTACAATATGTTTCAGTGTCATACAGGGTGTAAGGAGGAGGATATTAGGTGCTGCCAATATTATCTTCATATCCATGTGATAACAAAAAATAAAAAAAATTTATACAAATTTCAAAAAGAAAAAAGTGGATTACACCATCATCATTGTTGTTATTAATATGTCTTAGAAGGGGAGTACTGTAGTAATTTATTCATTATTTATGTTGTAGTTTGTTTGGCTTTTACAGAAATTTAATTCAGGGTGACGTTTTAAAACATGTGTAAAATATGTTTTACATTTTGTGTTACTGATGTCATATCATGTCAAGATATTTACAGGTGACTACATCATAGGTGTCTGTGACAGACCATCGTAATCAAAGAGAAAATGCTTCTGTCTCAACTGTTAAGTGTCATACTCAACACCATACAGAAAAAAAATCTTCAGATACACTAGCCTAGTTTTTCAGCAAGCAGCATCCTCAGAATAGACCAGAAAGCAATGCAGTCACAAGACAGGTTGAGTAAAGGAACCAAGTTTTACCTTTTCCTCACTTTCCTCACTCATCCCTAGTCCCTTACCCTCACCTTAACCGTCACAACTTATTCCTAACCCCAACTCTTACTATAACATAAACCATATTCCAACATGAACCTTAAAACCAAGTCTTAACCCTCAAACAACCATTTACAAGTGTGAGGACTCGCTAAAATGTCAACCTGGTCCTCACAAAGATAGAGTCCAAGCATGCATGCACATACACACACACACACAGACACACACACGCGCGCGCACACACACACACACACACACACACAGGAAATGACAGCCTATTGTCTCAAAATAACTCTTGCAGAGTATACTGACACTTTGCAGACGTCCCATACCAAAATAAAGAAGCTCTGAGGTGAATTTTACTTTGAATTCAAAGAGAGTGCATAAACTGATATCATATCTTCCCATTTGGCCCCACAGGTACAGCAAACACTTATTCATACCGATGTTTCATCCAAACATTTTCACTTTCACTGCAGCAAACAATTGATCTTAAACTGAATGACAGCAGGTGAACAGACCACACAAAGGTGAAAGTTTTTGTTGGGAAGACCAGTCCCTTGTGCACATTTGGATACAATAGACATCATTTGCCTGCATGTGCTTATGATTTTAATGGAAAATATAGGAAAAACAATTTTATGATTTTGAGTTAGCGCTATTGTGAAGTTACCGTAATGAAATAATCTTATAAATCTTAATCTGATCATTTAAGCATATTTTGCTCTAAAGGTGCTACAGTAAGAAAAATATCTATCCTCTTCAGGACACTATGGTACTCGTCTATAATAACATTCACTCTCCACAGGTGCCTATAGCGTCTAAATATCTTATGGCTACTCAATAGTGTCAGATCCATCTAAAGGTAAAGTATTGTACTGTACTCCTGCTACATTGACCAACACAAACAAACAAGGTGGTGGATGGATTTCTTAGTGGTTTGATTTTGAACTGCACCTCTGTTTGAGGCATGCCTATGGGCTTGAGGATAGATATTTGCCAGATCATGCATTACACAAATGCTGAGGTTTCATCTAGAGCTTATCAGGGCAACTTCCTGCAACAAGTAGCCACATTGCAGAGTTTTTATGTCAAAATTTAACATCCTCAAAATAAAATTAAAAGATTCTAGATAAAACCTAGTGATGCTCTGATAAATATCTCACAAGCTGAGTTACTGATATCTAAAGTACAGTCAGAGGACCTCTGATTAGTGGTGTTGTTCCAAATAGGCAGGACACAAGTTGTTTTTTTCTGAGTGCAGACTTTTAAGATATCTAATCATCCCGTCTTAAGGTGTCCACCTATTAACACATCACATTTTGAGGTATTGAGCTATTTTGAAGAATGGGCCAAAGACATAAGTGGGCCGTCCCGCCGTCGCCATCTTGGAATTGCCTGACACCGTTTAATTACCGGTTAATCCAAAAATGGGCAAAGAGGTGTGGTGTATGTAGAGCCGGGACTTCGGTGCTTACCGGTTTAATGACTGTGACAAGCATGTACGCTCCCGTTAGCATTATTAGCATAGCCGGGGGGGCGGGGGCGGGGGGGTCAGGGTTTCTTGCTGGAAGAATAACCGAAGGCTAATTAGCTAGCTCACGGGCTAAGCTAACAAGCCAGGTATGGTGAGCGCAGACACCGATACCTGCTAGTTGCTAACATATCAAATACTTGAATTTCACTCACCTCAAAGTACAGGATCACAGACGTCCTCACGCTCTGTTCGTCACGGAGCCCCATATCATTTGTCCGATATTTGCATGATAAATCCTCCAAAAGTCACAAGTAAACAAGCACGGCCGAGGTCATGTTCAGTAGCTGCAATTAGCTGAGGTGACCCACCTGTCACTCAAAGCTGCGACGTCCAAATACATAACTTTGAAGCTAACTAGAATTTAAACAGGTGAGTTATCATCCCCCAGTACAGTTGTCATGAAGGGGAAACTTTGCTGTAGAAACCATTTTTGTTTTCTACGTGCTTATTTCTGCTATAAAGTTTTAACATTTTATCATGGGAGTCTATGAGAATTAGCAGGGCGTTTAAATGAGGATTTACTTGCTTTTGGGGCTAGACTCAGGTGGTTATCTTCTTCTTCTATGTGTTTCTTACTGGATCGCAAAGCAGCTTTAGAGGTGCACACCGCCACCTACTGTGTCGGAGTGTGTACTATCATGGCATTAAATCAACTGAATACTGAAGAAAAATAAATAATAAATAATAATAGTGACAGTGGTACTTACACCCTATCTCCTAAACCTGCCTGTATTATATAACCCACAAATCCCCTTCTGATTTCCCTGAAATTATGTCCTGTGCTCAATAATGAGTTTAAACTTAAATGATTATATGTTCAATATCTTCCAGAGAGTTACACCAATGACAGAGATTTGTTTGACTTTTCCCCATTACATATAACTTATTTGACAAGCCCACTCTTTAAAACCTCTATGGATGAATTTAAGGAGATGCTGCTGTTTCCTCAAAGTCTTTTTAATTATATTAGTTACACAGTTATACAGTGTCTCTCATCGTATGGTGCATTGGATTCAGAAACTCCAATTTGAATATTCATTGCGCATCACACACACACACGCACGCACGCACGCACGCACACACACATAAGGCATTTATAAATCTGTCATTTAAAATGTACAGAAGTGTGGGTTTCGGTGTGCTATTCATCATGGATACAGAAAAAATAAATGTCTCTAGCCTTCAATGACATGTAGGCAGACTATTCAAATATTTTTGACATCAAATATTTTTTATTTATACCACACATACCACATATTTAACCAAACAGTGTCGAACTACTATTTGTAGGCTAACCTTGGTGAGCAGAAATCTTTCAGCATCTTGGGGGACAGGGCCATTACTCTGGCTGGTGGTAAACCAGGATAGCAAAGTGCCTCCAGCGGATCTGGGCTCTATCTGATGGTGGCACCACAGGATAAGGACCACACCCCCAACCTGATAGGTCTTTGTGAGGGCTTGTATGTGATTGAACATGTGGGACAGAGCTCCCTCTACAGGCTAGAGGTGCCTCATTACCTGCAGACTCTGGTTCCAGGGGTGTTGAGCTCCAGCCTGAACCACTGGCTTGCACCAGCCTGGCCTCATCGCATTGGCCTACATCATCGGTTTGTGGACGAGGTCTTCCACAGGTCGTACGGAAGTTAGCGTGTCCTAAATGTTTTAAGAAGGTGGTGGTTAATAATGTATTTAACAATGTGTACAGTAAATGAAAACTGTGTGTTCTTTTGCATCAGTGTTTGTTCATATAAAATTCAATTCACCGATCAGCACTGAAATTATAGTCATGACCCAAAATAGTTAGTAGATAAATTATGTTATGCCAACGTATGTTTGCAATACTAATTTGCATCAACCAATTCACTTTTTGGAGCTTTCTTTCCCCAGTATTATGGCTTCTTGTAAGAAGTTCACTCCAACAATATCATTCAAACAAAAATTATGTTTTAGTTAAAGCTTGAGAGTTTCATACTACCAGGTTCAACAAATAAAAATAATCACAGATTTCCTATTCACAGTGAACACCTCGCAATGACAGAAAACAGCTACAGAAAATTAAAGTTTTATTCAATTATCAATCAATCAATATCATTTTACAATAAAGATATTAGAGAAAAAAAAGCAAAAAATATCTCCACATATTACTAGAAAACATAGCAAAACATATTTATTTTATTGTATCTCATGCACTGTGTTTTATGTCTGTTATATAGTATCTGTTCAGTCTACTTTATAGAACTTGTGTAATTGTTACGAATGATAGCCTTACTGTTTGTAATGTTTTTTTTTCTGCATATAAAGAATGAAAAAAGTTGTTAGATGTGTTGAGGGGTGAAAGTGTTGCCTGCAACGCTAAACTCAGGGCAGGAAAGACCCAACGCTAGATTGCGCTTACTTTTTCCGTACGTCACTTCCTCCCTCCTCTCTCGCTTCCATCTTGCTCCCCGCATGTGTCTGCTGTTAGTTTACAGGTCAGTGAGGAGCTTTAAATACCTTCTTCCCTGCACTGTTTCCCCCCGATCCGACGGCAAGAGGTAAACGAAAGCCTTTTCTCACTAGATGGCTGAAATCTGCCCGGGTTTGAAGCTAATGTTACAGGCGGTTTTGTGTGGCTGTGAGTGACAGGCCGTCCACTCCACAATCTCCCAGTTAGCTCAGACGCTAGCTAGAGTTAGCCCACAAGTTCTAACACAAAAGCTAAACCACACCTTGTGTCGGTGCAGTGGTTGGCTGAATTTGTCAGCAAACGTTACCTTAAACCAACCCCGACGTTACCTGCGGTGCTTTTGGCTTATTTAGTTTGTTCTACCACAGCCTTTTGTTGTTTGGCTTTCTTCGCTGGTTGTCCATAACACAGATAGATAAGTGGAAGCATTAGCTTTTAGCTAATTAAACTAACAGCGCATGTGACTGTGAATCTGACAGCTCCTTACTTGCTTTTAAAAAAAAGTCTACATGCTTCTTTTTTATCCGCACTACCGCCGCCTACCACACCCACACTAAAGCCTCTTCTCCCTGCGTGTGTGTGTTTACATGTGTGTGTCGTTCGAGTAGGATTTCCCTAATTTCTCCTCATTTGTTTACACCTTGCAAATCATTAGGATGTACTGCTGTCAGATGATCTTACAATGTTATAAAACTGCTCAATCACGTGATAATCAATACATAGTCAAGGGCCGCTCATAATTTGCTTTAATTTTACCAGCCGTGGAAAGGTATACCGGGCTTTCCTTAATTTCTTAGATAAAATTATAGTCCAATTTTTAGAGACTAATAACTGTCTTTTGACCAGCAAGATAATGCCGTACTATAGAAATATAGAAATGCTTCTGTAGTCATTTACAAAAACATTAATCTCATACAAAGATAAACTAAATGTATCAAATTGAGCCATTTGAAATTACAAATGGAAATTGTCTAACAAATTTCAGTAATTGTACCCAATGCTATGTAATATACTGTATATAGATAATCGCAGCTGTCTATAATTAAGGTTTACAAGACTGATTTCTTTAAAATAAATTCTATTGTTGTCATAGGAAAAAAGTGTCAGGGAGCTTGTTATTTCAATAGCGGAGTGGTTTTCTGAGGCAAACAAAATGATCTGTTCTCCTGGACTCATCTTCGTTTAGAATAACACAATTGTCAGCGTGTCACATTTCTGCTTCACCAGGTGTTCTTGTGTTGCCTTCATTCATGAGTGTTTGGATCAGATACACAGCCATTAAGCCGTGAGGCAGTCTTCAAGAAAAGGCCTTATATCTATTCTATAACTGGTGGCACCATGCCACTACTTTCTCTTTCCATAGTCCATCACATGTGCGCTAGCTGTTTGTCTTCTGGGGTTAGATTTTCCAACAACACAGTTTGTGTTTGCAATGCTTATTGAGATCAGATCCTCTAGCTACTAAATGCACATGCTTCAAATAAGGCAGCTGTTAATTAGTAAATAGCAGGCAAGCTAAGGAGCTTCAAAGGTTTCAGGGAAATACTTCTGTCTTCTTCATCTGAGATGACGGTTACTGCTAGGGTGTAACACTGCAGCGCTTCACAGTCTTCATAGATCTTATCACATTGACTGTAGATAAATGTCAAACATACATAATAGGACTCTGATCTCTGATCAAAATGGTTTCAATAACTCTTAATTTAATTTTTTTTTTCAATTTGTTGTTGCTGCATGTCAGACAGTTAAGATTTTCAGTTTTGATAGAGATGTCTATTTTTTGTTGCGTTGCAGTCCCTTGCTGCATGGTGTGCTTTGTATCTTAGTATCTGAGCCTGCTATGTGCTGTATATTGAGCAACTGCAATTAACATAATTATATATAATGTTCTTTCTTTTTGCAGATGAAAGAAGCAATTATGAATCAAGAAAAACTTGCTAAACTACAGGCACAAGTCCGCATCGGCGGAAAGGTAAAAAAAAAACAGCATTGTCACAGGTTACATGACATTTATCATTTTTCTGCAAAGCTCTCAATCTTCTCTGCTATTTCTTAATACTTTGTTTGATGCTGTGCAGGACGATGAGAGTCTTGGGTGAAAATATTAATCTGGTGACATAAGACTTTGAGTTCAGGCTGTGCAGCTTCGTACAACCTGAGCTTTAGAGAAGTTTCTTGCTTGTTTCTATGACAACCAGCAATTTTATCTACAGTTTTGCTTCATAGCAGCAATCATTTTTGGCAAAGGTGTACTGTGGGTCAGAGAGTGAACTACACTAAATAGACTACAAACAGCTTTTGAGCTTTTGGGCCAGAAAATGACCATATAACATGTTTGTATGAATGTCCCCATAGGGTAGTGCTCGCAGAAAGAAGAAGGTTGTACACAGAACAGCCACCGCAGATGACAAGAAGCTCCAGTTCTCTCTAAAGAAACTTGGTGTCAACAACATCTCTGGTATTGAAGAGGTACGCATAAACCTTCCTCTCAGTTTTGTCCCACCGTGATTTCAAGGTGTATTTGTTTCAGTGATTTGTTATTTTGATCTGTTTCAGGTCAACATGTTTACAAATCAAGGAACAGTCATCCACTTCAACAATCCCAAAGTGCAGGCCTCCCTCGCAGCCAACACCTTCACCATCACTGGCCACGCTGAGACCAAGCAGCTGACCGAGATGCTGCCGGGCATCCTGAACCAGCTGGGAGCCGACAGCCTGACAAGCCTCAGGAGACTCGCCGAGGCCCTGCCCAAACAGGGTCAGCGGTCTATCATACTCATACAATCAAACTCATTTAACACGTTGAATTAAGTTGTAGCATAAATCATTGTGGGAAAGGCTCCTAGTTTCCCTGATATGGACACACACTAGATTCTTAGATTCTCACCGATCTTTTCTGTCCTTACAGCTGCAGATGGAAAAGCGCCGATTGCAGCAGTAGAAGAAGAAGACGATGATGTTCCAGGTGAGTGCTAAAATGTCTCATTTTGCATTATATTCTGCTTGTCGTGCATCAAACTGTTTTGCAGTCTTATTTTGAAATACTCCTTCACACTTGTCCATTATTGCAGCAGGTTTTTTCCTCTCTTTCTCTCAGTTAAATACCCGTGGCAGGTTTGCTTTTCTTTTGGCTCATGAAAGGGGTCACACCAAGGGGATTCATCAGTTACTTTAGACGACGGAGCAATGCAGCGTTTTGTGTTTAAATCTCATGTTCATTGTTTATAAGATCTTAAGATTCGGTTTGCTTTTCTTTGTCAGGGGAATTGACCAAACACATGAGGTTGCCATTACAATAATCTCTCGCTTTTCCCAGGACTTCTCTCCCTGTAACCAGAGTTCACACTAATGTAACAAACGATTACACATGTATTCAGCAATAGGAGCACTTGAAGCCCTAATGGCACAGGGTTAACAGCCATTGCCATCACGCCGTTATTGGAGTTAAGTTTCCTTTTTGTTCTCCCACTGAAGGAACATGTTTACTCAGACCTTTTGAATTGTTTCCATTTTAACCCTCGACCCTTTGAGCCAAAACCTGGAGACGCGGATTTCTCGCATTTCATGGAGTAATTGAAGCCAACTTTTTGGTGCGTTACGCCATAATTTTTACAGCTGCTCTGAGTAGTTGTCAGGGCCTCATATACAGAGCACATTGCAGTCCATATTAGAGTGGGAAAGACGAGCAAAGAAGTGAGGTTGCATTACACCTAGTATCATGTTTCAGATAAACACACTTTTCCTGAATTATGCTCCGCCACCTCCTGAGAATCATTTGTGCAGATGGGACATGCCTTTCTTTCTACTTCAGTCAATTTACCACTGAATCTTTTGTTGTTTCAGATCTGGTGGAGAATTTTGATGAAGCATCCAAGGATGAGGCTAACTAGAGGAAATGGGACTCCTGGAGTAACAAAACTTGACAGGACCATGTGGGGCACAAGATGTTTTAATGTCTATTTTGAGAGGTGGAAAGTTAATCGTTTAAGTACCTGAGAAGATGGATAATCTGTCAATTTTTGGCTGTGAGCATTCTGTAATATGTGCAACACCTGAACAAAGTACTTGCATACTCTTAAGTGAATTATTTTTGAGTAATTTTCTAGAATAGTACTCTAAAGTATTAAAAACCAGGGTAGCAGTATTTAAGCATAAGGTATTTTAGTACTCATTCCACCTCCTGTTTGCCACCAGACTCCTCCAAATGCTTGTTGTGCTCTGTGGTCCAGTTAGAGTGAGAGATTGTGTTTAAAATGTGGTGTTTAAGGCTCCTGCTGTACATCCATGTTACTGATCCTTAATTCTTTGTGGCCTCGCTAAAACCACCATATCTGGAAATAAACCTTTGCTACTGTCAGTAACTTATGTTTTTTTTTAATCATTTGAGTAGAGTAGAAATAATTAACATTTTTCCTTCTGCTTACTTCACAACTGCATCGCCAGGTGCAAGATTTGGATACCGTGCTGTAATATTCAGGTATTTACATACATACATATATAGATAGATAGATACTTTATTTGATGACCCTCTGACTTCTCCGGTCCCACTGTGACATTAGTATTTATGGATTTTTGTGAAATGGATGGATTGCCATGAAATTTTGTACACACATTCATGTCCCCCTCAGGATGAACTCCGAACTTTGGTAATCTTCTTTTAATCTACTGCCATCATTAGGTCTTAAATTTGATTTGTTCAATACTTTGGTTTTTGACCAGACCAATACTGCTAAACCTAAAAACGAACCCTCAGCTGTCTATTATCAAACGTGTAGTTTGGTTTCATAAACTAGCAAATGTTAGCATGCTGAACTAAGATGGTGAACATGGGAAACATCATACCTGCTTGGCATCAGCATTGAGTTTAGCTCAAAACACTGCTATGCTTAAGCATACAGTCTATGGTACTGCCTCACTGAGCAGCAATCAAGGTGAGAGACTCTTAAGATCATGTTTGTTCATTGTTTGATCATGTTCATGCTTTTCTTCTCAACCGCTAACGTTAGCATAGCCTGCACATTAACAATGAACAATAAAATTGTAATATGTCAATATGAAACATAACAAGAGTTACATCAATATGAGAATTTTATCACATTACAACACAACGTGTAAATCATTCAAATAAATAAACAGAGTACAACTGACACAAGGATCTTCAGTCAACAAACAGCTTGTCAGCATCATAAAAGCACACAATCTGCCACGTGCATTCTGGACAGTAATAACGTATTTTCATTCCACCCACTGTTGTCTTCAGGGAAGACAGAAGAGCCTCAGAGATGTGATCAATATGAAAACCAGACAGTATGAACACCAACCAATTCAACATATTACAATAAAATTCTGTTATTCTTAAAAACTGTTGATTACGGTTAATAAATTAGTTTATAAAAACACTTGCAATCACAGGAAAAGGGTAATGACAGCATGTAATGCGATATCTGATATTACAAGGGAGTCAAAACGGAGCTTCAATGCTTAATTAAAGCAAAACAAAAGCCTGCACTGCACTACTTATTTGGCAGCATACTACAGGTGGAGTGCAGTGCATGCTGGGTTGTAGTGAAGAGCTCAACTTTACATTTCTGTTTTTTGAAATCTGTCATTGTATCCTGATAAAATTTGCTACCACACATTCGATATGAAAACGTGCAGAGTAAAACAGTTTGAGAGAAGCGTCAAATTCAAAATTCACACACTCACTCACACACTCACACCCAACCTTCATGTGCATCATGCCCACAAAATAATGTCGACATGATGCAATGCTGTTGAAACATCACTTAATGGAACTAAATATTCCCGTTGGCTGACAGCCTGGGCGTGCTACATGATTGTCCAAGAGCCCAGTGATGTCCCTCAAGTATTTGTTTTCCTCAAGTGTCACAGTTCATTCTCTGATTCCCATCAGCAACTTCAGTAAGTGTGCCTCCATCACCTGTTGAACTAAACATAGAGACATACAAGATTTTATCCAACAGTCATTTAAAAGAGGATACTTATATGTACAGTCTAAGGTGGCTGTCCTTCGTGTGAATGCTAACTGTGCCTCCTATTTCCCTCCTTTAAAAAGATCATCCCATTTTTTATTGAGCAGAAAATTAAATACATACATGTTCTCCAAATGTATGATGTATTTTTGCTTTTGTTTCTTGTGAAAGGCTTTTAATGAAAATATCAGTACAACAGTATTAGTTTAAGTATCTAAAATTATTTTATTTGTAAGATCTATTACAACCTTTTTTGCTATGCAGTAAAATCCATCTTCACTCCTTTGTATAGACTAACTCAAAGTCATGAGTAGGTAAGACTTTGTTATAGCTTAACTGAACCCCCTTCTAGCCCTAAATGTTGGCTCAGACTATATGTTTATTTTTCCACATACCATTTCGGTGGCCCATAGCCACGGCCATGTCCATTGCATTAAATCCAGAATCTGACTCTATGGTAGGATCAGCACCACTCTCTGGAAGACGTACAAATATAATAAACAAATAGCAGACACATAATTACTGTGCATGTTCATGTTAAGACGCAATATTTCCTCAACACAAAACTGCTATGTTTATATAAACAGACAGATATTTCTGACTGTCAGTAAAAGGTTTGTCCTCACCTAACAAGATTTCGACACAGCGTACATGGTTGCCATGGACAGCGTACAGCAGAGGGGCTCCTCCATTCTGAAACCCACAGAGGCAACATCACAACAAGCCACACAGACTGAAGCCTGCACAGGGCTTCATCTGATACCAACATTAAGCATCCAGTGCAAAGTGATGGACATTTTTTTAATTGTCATATTCTACTTAACCAGGTTGAGACAACATGAAAGAAAAGCTCAGTATTCTTACCCAGTCATATTCGTTGACATCAACTCCACAGTCAATGAGCATCTTCACAATATCAGTGTATCCCTTACTGCAGGCCAAGGACAATGCGCTTTCCCTCCCTTTGGCCAGGAGGTTGGGGTCAGCACCCTACAGTGAAAAGTGACGCGGAATGACAAGCAGTTAATAAATATAAAGGGCATGCTCTAATGTATTAAAACCATAACATCTGAATAAGATAGGAAGTAAATTTTCCATACATTTTGGAGCAGAAACTCGACAACAGCAATTTGTCCGTGTGCAGCTGCCCACATCAGAGGAGTAAAGCCTTCCTCATCTTGGAGATTGATCACAGTCTCTATTAATATGATACATAAAACATTGTCACAATATGTACTGTATTACATATATTCATCCATTATCTATAACCACTTATTCTTTGCAGATCGAGGGGAGCTGGAGCCTCTCCCAGCTGACACTGGGAGAGACTCAGCAACAATCAAAATATTTTAAATACCATGAAGAGAGTACTTTTCACATGGTGCTAGAACCATAGAAAAGTACTTACTCTATAGATATAAAACAAGTCATTTGGTCATATAACTATTACATTTTTACATTAGTTCTCAAAATACATTCCAGTTCCAGTTTGTCAGGGATATGATAGTAAACTCTACATCTTTGATTTGTGGATTGTTGGTCTGACAAAACAAGATACTTAGGGCCATCACTATTTTTCTCAATTTTCCGGCATTTTATAGTGAAAACAGTTAATCAGTTTTTGAAAACAGAATTATTATTTACAGCAATAAAAACAGTTGTTATGAGTGTCGTTTCAGATTATTTCACCACTGCATGGCCATGGGAAATTATACTCGTTTGACAACCTGGGGGAGACTGCCTACCTTGTTCAATCCTGCTGGCCAGAAACACCATTTCTCCCTGGGCTGCCAGCTGGTGAATGGACAAAGCTGAAGGAAAAAACATGCAGGTACTGATTAACATTTTGACTGGAAACATTTTAACATATGGAGTTAATACAACCGTGGTACTTACAATGCACCAGAAGAGGTGTGGAAGAAACCTCATTGCCGCGGTGTTTATTGGTGAGTGTGGTGGACTGTTTGATGGGGGAGAAGTGTTTGGTGGTGGATGGTGTGTAAACATGGCGCACCTGTATGCCCGGGGACGGTGAGGTCTGGATGTTGCACTCAGCTGAAACAGAGGGAAACATTTTGTGGCTCTCACATTAATTACAGCCTTGTACATCAGACATTCTCACAGGATAACCAAGATAACTAAACAGATAAAGAGGGCTCCACCTCCACCCTACCTTTGAATAAAACAGAAGCCACCTCCAGATCAGAGTTCACCTGGTCCTGGATGTTCTTGCTGTCTTCCTCGTTGAGCGACTTGACAAATCTTGAGCAAACGTTCATGTCAAAGCGGTTGGGCAGGATGAACTTGATGCCCATAGCCACATTTTGAGTGCCCGTGTCAACTGGGCTTGCACCCATCGACTGCTCGGTCTTGATGGCACTCAAGTCTGGCATCACGCAGATCCCCTCCATGTCCTCAGAAACCAGGGGGCACTCTGCTGTCCCGTCCGAGGCTGACACGGCGGCGTTGTCCATCCCCTGATCACTCACTGAGCTATCACACTGAGATTCAACTGAAACCACCACACGCCTGAAATGTGGACAGTTTATTTCACAATTACATATAGATACCAAACAGTCCTTAGTCTCATTTCCCGTTACACTAAGCGTTATTTAACTCATTCGGTTAAATACCCAACGACTGCCTGTTAGCTATCAGTTAGCATGCTAGCTGTTGTTATCGTAACCTTCCGTTAGTCACACTAACCGGCTGGGGCTAATAAATGTTACCATGGAAACACATTACGCGCAAGCATCAACAAAAGCAAATTTTCTGAAATGAAAAGATATCTCACTCGATAAGACATTGTTTTTCTTGGATATCCTCATGGACTCATCTCTCTCCTTTCGGTGTTTTGATAGATCTGAGCATGCGCAACTGGTCTCATCCACAAAGACGTGCATCCAGTATTAACTTCCCCCCGTTTGTTTTGTTATTTAGTTCCGGAGCCTCTCCATCATGCTGACTACTACACAGATATTCTGAATTAGTTATCTGTGAGGTGAATCATTTTGATGTCGCGGTGTAGTTTCAAACACACAACTTTACACACTGTTTTTTAATCATATCAGCGTGAACCTAAATCATGCTGTTGGCTCAAAATGAAAAACAAGGAGAAAGAGGTGATGCTACAGTGTCAGTAGTGTGGAATTAACAAAAATAAAAAAACAAATATTACAAAATTGTTATGTACATTTATAGAACACACATCAAGAAAATGACACAAAATTAGTCAATTGATGTGCCCACATATGGTGTTTTGATATATATAGGCCATTTACAGGTACTTATTACGGTAATCTTGACAACGAATGAATGACAGACTGAAGTATCAGTATCAGTATTGAATGCTTTCTTTGCAATGCTAAGGTAAATGTAATATTATTCTGAAGTCAGACCTGAGGCACAGAAACCCACAGTGAGAACATTTTTCATTGCTCAAATGCCCTAATTTCCTATGTACAATATTGGAATTGTAACATGATCTGGTTGCTTCGATCCTGGCCTATATAGCTTAGATGCTGCTGCAGTCATTTAACTAAAGACAGAAGAATTCACAAGTTCCGGTAATAACATGTCCTGAAAGAAAGTACAGAAAAGCTGAACGCAGGAAGAAAAACAAGCTTAATTGGTAAATCTTTTATGATATTATGAATGACAGCATGTTGTGGTGTTTAAATGTGGTCAAAGATATGAGGATTGTATGCTTATTAATTCAAGGGTACTATGTGAGGTTACTCCAGAGTTAAACCTCATCCTCAACCTGTCTGTATTATAGATGCATACCTTAAGTTTCATGTCAGTCTTTGTACATTCTTCTCTGCTAGTTCAGCCTCAATACTGATGTGACTTGCAGTATGCCTTTCAAACAGAACTGAGGCAGTTTATGATCTGCCTCTGCTTCTTGGCGTTCTGCAATTTCTGACACAGGCCATGAGAGGATGTGACGCAGCTGTATGGAAATTAAATAGAACTATGCAGCATCTAAATACTGTCCGGTACTTTGCCTTTCTGTCACCTGTTGTACAAAATTGTATCTATGGAACTGAGGTGGTCCCAGACATGTGAATCAGGTTCACCAGGCTCAATGTGCTGTGAGCACAGCTGTGGGGAGGCATCTTCTGAGGATGCTCCTCATTTTCTTTGAGGTGAAGTCTCTGAGCTCTGTCTCACCACTGGGGATAATAAAAGTTTTTACCTAAGCTATTTTCTATTAGTCTGACCTGATTAAACCTGTTGTTGCCCACTGTTTGAGTGCGCCCTCTGCTGGAGGTTTGAGCTAACATGTTATTTCATACATGCAGCACAGGCCCAGCCATCCCAACAAGTTTGGTCCCCAGTTTGGCTCAAACTCAAATTCATACATTTCCTATAATGCAACAGCAGTGATGGAAGAAGGACTCAGAAGTTGTACTTACTTAAAAGTACCAATATAACAGTGTAAAAATACTCAGTGTAATACTACCTCCTAAAACCTGTCAGTGACCACTAGAAGATCCTGAAAAAACCCCCACTGAAACCTGATCAGGTTTGTTATTTTATGTCTCTGACAAAAAACACTGACATTGAGCGTTCTGTGAAAAGAAAACAAAGGCAAAAATTTGCTCCATTTCCTTTTCTGAGGGTTGTGTTGCAAAATTCACAACTTAATGACAGATTTTTTTTTATATCTAATTTATTTTTAATGATTACTGTGTTTGAAAGGTCAAGAGAAGCCTTTGAGGGTGAGGTACACTGTTTTGTGTTTCCTTTATATCTTGAACATTATTGGTTTTGTTTCCTGCTGTGTGATGCTCCATCACATCACCATGGGCGCTGCAAAAAGAGACAAGGATATCTGTCCTGCTGTTTTATTTTGACAGCATGTGAGTCTCTGTGTGTGCAATGAATTCCACAGTGTGCTGCTCTCACCATCTGCAGGACAGATGACCGTACCTTGTGAGATGACCGTACCTTGTGTGGATATCACTTTGTGGTGTATTTTGGAGCATACGTAGAAAAACAAATGCAACACTAAAATTAATTATGGGGAATGTTATCTAGAAACCTACCACAAGATGGCAGGACAGGGAGTTCACAAATTTTTTACTCACTTTTATATTTTTGCCAACAGATGGCACCACAGTCTCATAGGTTATAAGATGCAGTCAGTTCTGATGGAGTTCGTGGGGTTTTCTCCTAAATGGCCTATTATCCTCTCATCTCCCCAATTAAGCAAGACAACACTGTCCTGAAGGAAACTGTTTCTCAAACTCAAATTGCTGACTGTGTTGAAAGTAAGACATTACCATTGTAGCCTGTCACCTCTGACACCATCTGTTGTAAGACATTTAATCTGTTGCTCATTATCAGTTGTGGGATAAATCTGGGAGCAAGAAGTGTGGGAAAGTTGTTTCTCTCATTTCCTGTTCATGTCACATGTCTATGTCTTCTATATGTGATGGTTACAATCCAACTGAGAGCTGGAAGATTTTTATGCAACAGAGGAGCATTAGGATGTAAATTATACAATGCCAATTGAACACTGCTATAAAACACGGCCACAGACATAAAAACAGTCATAAGAGACCAGGAACTGGCTGTAAAAACAAAACCGTTGAGTGTACAGAATTGACCAAGGCCTCATTTTATTTCTAATGAATTTAACCTCTCATTTCCAAGCGGAAAAATCTATTGTATAATTGTAATTGTAATGTCTATTTTCTTTCAAAAATTATATTGTTTCCCTTTAAGCTTTACAAACTTTGATCAATTAAGCATCAGGCTTATCTGCAGTATTACAAAAAAGTGGGCATTTGAAGTTAGGGGTTTTGAATGGAAGACCTTGCTGAGTTGTATTATGGGAAATGTAGGATTCAGCATTTCTGGAGCTTCACCCATTCTACAGACTAAAAGTCACGATCTTGGCCTCTGCTGGTCTGATTGTGACCATTAAAAAAATAAAAAAAATCCTGACCTCTGTCACAAGCTAACCTTATTTTCATGTAGCCCACTAGTAAAATATCTTATACATACCTCAGGAGTGAGTTTCTGGGTATTAGTTATGTAGGTTATACCACAGTGTAAAAATACTAAACATTAAACATTTTACATAAGTGAGAGTACAGAGGCAAAACGTACTTAAAGTATCAAAAAAGTATTCGTTAAGCAGAAATTTTACTTGTATGAGCATTAGCATATTAGTGTTAATTTCATCTAATTGTACCTATGCTATACATTTTCCACCACCAATAAGAGTGAAACGTTAATGACGGTGACGTCACCCCAACTTGTTTTTGATTGGAGGAAATTGAAATCGACCTGCAACCGTGTTTTCCCACAACCCCCACGAAGTGCAGAAGATTTTCACTCTGATGTTGCCCATGGAAATACATAAAGCATTCACCGTCACTATAAATTAACTGTATACAGGGGATATCCCTTTATAGAGATGATACACGCATACCATATCATAAGACTGTGTGTGTGTGTGTGTGTGTGTGTGTGTGTGTGTGTGTGTGTGTGTGTGTGTGTGTGTGTGTGTGTGTGTGTGTGTGTGTGTGTGTGTGTGTGTGTGTGTGTGTGTGTGTGAGAGAGAGAGAGAGAGAGAGGGGGCTGGACCAGAGGAGCAGCAGGCTGCAGAGGGGAGAAACAAGTCTGCGACACCTGCAAACAAACTCCCAACCGACTCCCTCCTGGAGCGAGGAGACGGGTGAAGCTGAGAGACGATAGCAAACCGGAATCAGGGGAGAGAAAAATGTTTTTTAGTCATTAAGTAAGAGACTCGAGCAACAGAGAAAGTTTAGTGTCGCGCTATACCCTTCATCTGAGTTCACGGAGGATCGGACCGAGTGTGGAGAGCTGAGAGAGAGAGAGAGAGAGAGAGAGAGAGCGAGGGGGAGAGAGAGGGAGAGAGACGACATCAGGTAATGGCAATAATCTGATCATTAGAAAACTTCAATTTAACGTAGAGTTTGGTGGACGACGTGAGATTGTGGTGATGTTTATTCAGACTGTCGGTTATCTGTCGTCTCACCGATTTTTTTTAGGTGATCAGAATGCTGGTGCGTTCACAGGTAAAACGTTAAAAAGCGTGGCATGGCTGGCTGGGCTTCAGCGCCCTGCATCCATTGTTAATTCAAACTCTGTCATACTCTGCTGTGATCAGTTCATAACTTTAGCTACAGCTCAGATGCATTCACTGACTGGTTTCGATTGTTTTATGCAGGAGTTTCACTTCCCAAGCAGCAGAGGTCATTTATTGTTCCTGGAGGATGTGTTTTAATGCTGATAATGTGTGTAGTAATTATACAGAGACTATTTTCACTTCTTTGAATGGGAGTTCATGAACCCGTCCATTCAGTGGCTTTGCAGTAAGGTTATTTTCCATTATTGAACATGTATAGAGAAGGTGGCTGGACTTTGTTTACACTGCTGATAATAGATAACCTATTATAATGGGTCTTCTTTGTGTTAATGACACTATACAATCATTAAGAAGTTAGGTTTTTACATGTTTTGTATCCCATGAAGTCACAACTGCACTGTGGAGTGACTATGCTAATTGTGCCATCTGTGTTAGTTTCATCATTGCATTGAGCAGCACATTCTTATGAGAAGTAATGAGTAACATTTACCTCCATGTACCAAAAAAGAGTGTGTAGCAAATGAAAGTGTAATTATCAGAAGCTGAAAGCAGAAAAACTCTCATTTTCACACAGCCTGATAACTGATAGCAGCTTGTCATGTGAGAGGAATTAGATTATTCAATCATGCATCAGCTGAAAAAAAAAATCTAAGGACAGCAGGATCAACTTGTTCACGTCTGAAAATATTTGCACCGCTTGTATAGAAGTCAAAATGAATTTCCGAAATGAATGACAACATGCGTTATCTTGC